TATGTTCCTAACTAGAATTATAAATTACACAAAAATAAAGAGAATATTGGATGTTATATATTTTAAAACCATTATTATTAATAACTAGATCTGTTTCAGCACAGTTTATTTATAGTTATATGGGATCATGGAAGTAAAGAAAATGACTCAAAACATTTTCTTATTAATATGATGTAATAAGTTTGCTACAAAAAACAAATATTTCGAAGACATGTGAAGTTCGCCAACACAAATTGGGGCAGCGCGGTGGAAACTTCCTTGCCCTAAAAACCCTCTCAGAAATGAGAGGACTGTGCCCAGCGGTTGGATGTATATAGGTTGTAACTTTAAATTTAAGTTTGCTACAGTAGAGCTACTGACCCATGTGACCACCACATGGGTCAGTAGTCATCATGGGCACTACGTGCGAATTTTATTTGGAGAGAGAATATTGTTCTTTTTTTTCTAATTGAATAATTTAATGGATTTAGTTATTTTATTGAAAGCAATAATTGTTTATCTTACTCTATAAAATTAGTAATAAGTTAGTAAGAACTATGAGAGAGTTCCAAAAGTGAGAAGACAATAGGTTCTAATTTTTTTTTATAGAATAAGAGTGCACACAAACACACAGTCCACCTGATGGTAGGTGAATGCTGTGGCTCATAGACATCAACATTTATCCTTGATTAAGATTTAAAATGCAGATGCGTTGTCACTCATGAGGACTAAGATTGAAGAACGCCTCGTTTCCAGTAAAACTGGGGTAAGGGTGTCCAGTTCACCATATGAAACACAGCAGTGTTGAGCTCATAGAAATATTAAAAAGTTGAGCTGCTATTTTACGCTGGTGTTCTGTGACCTATTTGTGCTGCAACTAATATAGGTGCAGCATGGCTCTACCACATAAAAAAATTACTAGCGAAATGACTTACAAGAGATGATTAACAGTGAAAGATGTTAGAGGAGACCCTTGCCGAAAGGATTACACTGCCTTTAAGCTGCCACTGCGTAGCATAATTAACTACACAGCAACAAATCAAAGAAAAATAAAACTAGATTTAAATAACAATTGTTGGAGAATATTCATAGGAGTATTTACATTTTCCCAGCCTAAATTCATTTATCATATTGGTTTATTTATTTTATTTAATTTATAGTTTTTTTTATAGAATAAGGGTGGTAAATAAGCACCTGATGGTAAGTGGATGCTGTGGCCCATAGACATCTACATTTATCTTAGATCCTGATGTTGACTGTTTACTGATGTTTAATAACCTACATTATTATTATTAATTAGACAAGCTAAATAAAACTATTGCTGTGCATGAGTGTCCATATTACTTTGTATCTTTCCCCTTCCTAAGTCACGGCAGATTTATCATGGTTACTAAGGGATGTCAATAAAGAGTAAAACAATATGTTGCGAAATGTTAATTAAGTTACTGAGGTAAAGTATCTATTCTGACTATGATCCACTGACCATATTTTCGTAACTGAGTTCTGCGATGCCCAACGCATGCAACTTGTAAAGCCATTCGTCAGGAATCAGGATGCTTGGCTCTCGGAAGAAATAATAATACAAATAAACCTCAAATATGATTGCTAACAGAAATGTGATCATATTCTACTTAGTTAAAAATCTTGTTAGTAAACAAAGTTTTAATTTCAGTATTTTGTGTTAATATAAATTAAAATATTTTAATTACGAGATACTTGGATAGTGAAGTAAATTTCAACTAAGTTTTGTAATAAAGTATGTAGGTATTACTTCTGTAGATAAATAATTACTTCCATTTTGCTATAAGTACCTAAAAATGAAATAAATTCAGCTTTCATATCTTCCTACTAAAATCCTTTGGTAACTTAAAGAATGATATATATCTGAAACCTTTTGTTGGTCATTTTTGCCATTAAAATTGATCAAATAGGTAATATACATAAGTAATAAATATTATTTTTAAATTACATTAAAACTTTTTCAACAATTTAATTCTACAATTAAATATATTAAACACTATACAAAAACTATTTCAACAAGTATTTACAAAAAACTATTTATGTAAACAGTGTTAAAAAACTAAAATTTAATCGCACACAATGCACTAGAACCAACTGCATATGTTACCCTCCATGTTTCGCGATTGTAGGTAATTATTTCACGCAGGTAGCAAGAGTGACAGAGGGCTGCTCACAGCCTGTAATTATACTGGCTCTCTATACCCTTTAGAACGGAACACAGCACAGCAGTGCATACACTGCAGTTTGAGGGCAGATATAGATAAAAAAGTAATACCTGCCTAGACAGATGTCGGGACTTTCTTTCTGCCTAGACAGGAGTCGAGTTTTCTTTCTGCCTAGACATGTCAGGACTTTCTGCCTAGACAAGTGTTGGGACTTTCTGCTTAGACAGGTGTCGGGACTTTCTTTCTGCCTAGACAGGTGTCGGGACTTTCTTTCTGCCTAGATAGGTGTCGGGACTTATTTCTGCATAGACAGGTGTCGGGACTTTCTGCCTAGACAGGTGTCGGGATTTTCTTTCTGCCTAGACAGGTGCCGGGATTTTCCTTCTGCCTAGACAGGTGTAGGGACTTTCTTTGGGTTGGGTTTACAATTCGGTCGCCTGAATTTGAAGATTCTGTCACTGTGGGGGAGTCAAGGGGGTTTATCTGAAGCACCCCCACTTGATTTTTTCTGCCGGAGCAGCGTCGAAGTATTTTTAATTAATTTTTTTTAAAATATTGGTTAATAACTAATTTATTCAATAATTTAAATATTGGTAAATCATGTTTTTGAAGTTTCATCTGTCAATGTCATATCGATAGATAGTACTGAATCGATCTAGTGAATCGATATTTCACCCTAGAGAATAGAGATCAAATCTTTTTTTGTTTTATTAAGATTTGTAAAATTATTTACAATTAGTTGAATGTACCCCAACTCATAAAGAATGACATTTTTAATTCAATCATTCAATTTTATCTGTACTTTATTGTATCTTTTGCTATTGTAAATATAAACTTTTGACGCAAATCAAAAAAAAAATAGATTTTTGTGAAATCGATCTTTAAGATTTAGAATTTTTGTGAATCGATTGATCCAATTTCGATTTAAAAATAAGTAAAATTAATCGCTAGGCCGGTCATTTTGTTGACAGCTTTTCATCATGCCGGTGCTTCCAAGTTTCAGAATTTTGGTGAATAGTGAAATATTTGTGGCGGTGAAATACTGCTAAATATCGCAAAGATCCTTTTTTACAAATGGTGGCAGCCATAAATTATGTTTATAAATTAAAGTAGTTATAAAAGTTAATATTTTGTTGTTACATTGAGTGCAATAGTGAGCGAAGCGAGCCTGGGTTGTGGAGCACCCCGACTTGGACAGGTTAGGTTAGAAGAGGATGACGGGGTCGAGTGAGCGAGCGAATAGACTCCGTCATCCTCTTTGTGGTTATTTTTTTGTAAACCACTCAGAAGTAGGAGCCCTCCTTCGCGCCGTCGACCGGACTTCCCTCAACTGCACCACGTTAAGTGGTGTGGGGCTTCCGTTCCCCAACTCTCTCTCCCCATAAATCAGGTTAAAATTGTCATAAAAATTACGAAACATAACCTCAAAATGAGATTTTCAAAAATTTATAAAAAAAAACTAAGCATTTCCGGCAGAAAGGGGAAGTAGGGGGTGACTCTACAACTCCTCCCCTCCTCCCACACCACCCCCACCCCTTAATTCAGGCGACCGAATTGTAAACCTTACCCCTTTCTTTCTGCCAAGACAGGTGTCGGGACTTTCTTTCTGCCTAGACAGGTGTCGGGATTTTCCTTCTGCCTAGACAGGTGTCGGGACTTTCTTCCTGCCTAGGAGTCTGTTTAAGCAAGTACTACTTTTCTATCTATTTCTACCCTCAAACTGCAGTGCGTGCACTGCTGTGCTGTGTTCCATTCTGAAGGGTGTAGATAACCAGTATAATTACGGGCTGTGAGGTATTCAGGCGACTTAATTTCAGACCATACTTGTACAAAGTTTTTAATTTTACCACTTGTCTAAAATAATGTTGATTTAAGCACAGCTATGAATGAACAAAGGGACAGGGTCACACCAGGAATTCTGTTTCCACCTCCCTCTCAAAACTTAGTATCAGCAATTTCGCAAGCAAAAAAAATTGCATATCATCCAGATGTTCTTTAAAACAGTAGGATGTATGACCCACCCAGAAAAGATCTTGGCTATGGCAACAAACATATTTCCACTAGTATTTTATTATTGAAAAGTAAAAAAGTAAATGAAAAGTATAAAAATACTTTGTTAAAGTAAAAATATTGGGTATTCTAAAATAAGTTATTAAATATTTCACTGTAACAACCAAAGCTAATTTTGGATTTTATCTGCAGTTTTAATGTTGTCATTTTTTCTGAAATATGGTGATAGATTATATTGCAGTGTGCACGTAAAAAATGTAGATATAAGTTGATAAGATTAACTAGAAAGTGTTGGTTACAGGAGTGTGAAGTGTGAACGCCCGCTCGAAAATATATAAAGTATCATACACACATGCATGCAAAAATATGTACTTACGTCAGACTATCTTCTGATAAAATAAATATGACTCAAATGGCACAACATACGCCCAATGAGGGCTTGAATTTGAAGCCTAAAATGCACAACAGACATGAAAATCAAAAAGAATAGATTGAAGTAACGGTAACAATGTATGGAATCCGGCAGACTGCACTATCGGCAACCAAATGACAGACAGTCCAAACATTTTTGGCACATTCCAGCGCACTTCTCACCTCCTGGCGCCCGATTTGCTAATTATAGAACATAACGCGACGTTAAAAAAGACGCCCAAATGCAGACGAAAAACAAAACATCGAAATACGTCGACCACATCCCACTGCGGACGTTCTCGAAAGCTATGCACGAACCCACGACGTGGGGCCACGACGCGGTTTAGGGTTAGACAGATTTTATCACATTTCACACTATAAACAGCACTTAACGATTTTAAATGCACATTATACCTTTACTTTCAGCGTTTTCCGTAATATCTTTCACGTCATCAACCATCTTGCTCGATGACAGTCACTCACTGTTCACTTTTTATTCGAACATATTTCGAAAACTCATACTTCGTTCACTATTTTCAGCCAGACGGCCAGCCAGCGATCTATACGACAACGCTTCGTTACTTAGTTCCGTTCACTGCTGTCATAAGAGCTACAAATGGCGAGTATAGTACATACTAATCTGAAGATGGCGTCATTAAATACTACGAATAACGAACTCAAAACGTACAATTTTTTTTAAATAAGCTTGCATTATTTATGATAATAAAACATTTCTCTGTTTATATAATCAAAAAACTCAATACTCAAGAAGGCATAAAATTAAAACTTTCGTGCATATTATGCGTTAAATGACATTGGCAAACGTCAAACTTTCCTTGATTTCTTATCTGTAATTACGTCGAATTTTGCTATACTGCCATCTACTTTTGATTTAAGGTACTACCATGTATAAGCCATAATCGTAAAACTTTAAAAAAATAAAAAATCCCATTGAAAAAGATATTTCAAAAATTTAAAATAATCTTTTATAGGTAATCATTATCTAATACCTTGGATCTCCTAAGAGTTGACATAGAAACGTCGAAAAGACGTTTCAACCACCACTAGATGGCAGTTTTATAATTTTGCGTTTTCATTACTAACGGACCGCAAAGGTGTAAAGCGGCTGATTGGTATAAGGATCCAACAGATGGCGGTTAAACTATTGTAAATCTAGGAACAGAAACGTTTATGTATCTTCAATTTTCATTAGAACTGCTAGATGGAGCAATAATAAATATTAAATATTCTGTTGTAATTTACAAAACTAGTTCTTTAGTAACAAGATTCGATAGTATATTTAAAATGATTAAAATATGGACCAGACACATTTCTTGTTTTGTTTCGTTTACCACCGGCGAATATTCCGTAATGATACGACTCAAGAAAAGAGTAAGGCCGGCAACGCACCTGCTATTCCCCTGCTATTGCGGTTGTTCATGGACGGCGGAAGTCACTTACTCGTACCACCGTGTGAGCCGCATATTCGTTTGTTCCCTCTTCTATAAAAATATTAATATATATATATATATATATATATATATATATATATATAAAAATTGTCTGTCTGTAATAGAATAGAATAATTTTTTATTCAATATAGATTACAAGTAATTCCTATTTAAAGTCAATATTTTATGTTAACTTTTCTTTGAACATTTCTTCATTCTGTCATGAGAATTTTCTTTCAAACTTTTGCTAGCAACGTCTGTTTTGTGGTTTATTTGTTTTAAATTGAATGGTCCATATTGTCTCAAATTAAAATAAGACCTGTTTTCTTGAGTATTTTTAATGTCAGCTAATACTGTTATAGACGTTTTAGACGGAATAGATTTTTCATTTAACATTTCTGTTTGCATTTTAGCAAGTCTGCCGATTTCAGATTGAGACAGTCGCAAAAACCTGGTCTACTCTTTTCGCAGAAGCAACTTAAACAACGGTAGGAAATAGAGTTAGCTGAGTCAACATTGTTAATAATATGATGTATTTTCATCGTGTTTGGTACTGGTACGAGTTCTACTGATTCGTTCAGAATGGCATCTTCAGGTATAAAGAAAGGCTGTATTTAGGTTTCAGACGCTTGTAAAAATTCATAAGCTGTTTTAGCGTCAGGAACATTTGAACCATAAGCAACAATTGAGTCTAATTTTCTTTTAATGGCTCCTCCTACACCATCAGCGGCTCCTTTACCGTGTGACGCTTCGTAAAAGTTCCACGTAGAAAATGGAAAGCCCAACTCTCGTCAGTTTTGCGAAATAATAAAAGTTTTTCTTCTGTCGGTATTAGTACAGTTGGACCATCCGAATAAAAATGAATCCCGTCTACTTTGGGTAATTTCTCCTTGATCAACTTAAGCACAGGTAAGAGATGTGCCCAAATGGCAGCTGGTTCGTGGTCTTTGTTTGGACTTAAACTTGCAAAAGATTGATGACCTTTTTTCGGTATATAACACCCCAGTCTGGAGACTGATCTGTTGTCTGGACCCATCAAAATGCATGGCTTGTATTTCAGTGGCTAATTTTCAAGAATAGTTTTCCGAAAAATCGACGTGTACAACGACAGTACGGTCATCTAAATTTTCTATGCACTGCCGATATTGTTTGTACTGATGCACGATATTGTAGAAATGGATTTTGAAACTTTGCAGTTCTTCTTGAAAGGCATCTAGGAGCATTTTTAGCGAACCAGTTTTTTTCTATGCGGTTTTTTTTCGTACTCTTTGTCACATCACAATTTTTTTTTGGTTTGTATTCATGAGATTTCAAAACCCATTCATCCCATGAAACATTATAGTTTAGATCTTTTTCACCCATAGAAAAATCAATACGTTTGTTTTTGCAAAAATCACAGTCTCCGTAAGCACATTCCTTTGACTTTGAAGAACATACAACCATACTCAGTAACTCATCAAGATCTGTTGTTGCTATTAATCCAATTGACTTCAATGACGTGGCTTTCATTTGCAAATTTTCGTGCCTCTTGCAAGCGCAAGTTTCTTGTTTCTCGGCTTTTGGTAGTAATACATAAAAGGGTCTGTACCTTTTGAAAGTTGAAAATGATAATTTTCCTCCTTCTTCTCTATATTTCTGATATAATTTTTGTAGCGTGCCAAGCAAATACTTTCTCTGTTTTTTTTTTGTTCTTTTTTGTTCTTTTTTGTGTCTACTTCGTTTTTCCCTGCTGTCATCCTACTCACATCATCCCTTTCATAAAAGTTTCTTAACTGTGTCTGTATTAATGGGCTTTTATTTTTCTGTTTAGTGTGACAAATTTTTCCTTTAAAACCTAAATAGGTAGCCATCTTAGTTTCATACTGTATTTATTAATGTTATCACTTTTGGTAAAAACATGTTTAATTAATCGTTTTTCTTGAGTGTTTTTACTTTTGTAGCTGTCTTTTATAGTGTCCACTATTACATTATGTTCTAGCAAAACTTTTTCACGCTTTCTCTTTCTTCAGGTCGAATACTAGGTAAATTTTGGTCAATGTATGCGCTAGTTTTCAAAACGGGGGTCATTTGTTCAAGGGCTTCATATTTTTTGGTAATTGGGCTTGACCTGTCTTCAAAGCCACGAATCATTTGGTTTTTCTCCTCAATAATTTCAAGTAACTTTTTTTTTTCCATAGAACGGTTTAATCTTTGCCTAATTTTTTTCAACGACTTTTTATATTTTTTAATTCCTCTTCTAGCTTTGTGTTTTCATTTTTCAGTCTATAAATGACCCTTCTATTATAATTTCTCTTCTGTGTTAAAATTTGTCCATGTCCTTCTAAAGGCACTACTTCGGGCTTAGGTTCTTTCTTACTTTTCTTCTTTCTCTCTCTCCACTGCTTTCTTATGATTTCTTGATCAGATGAAGGATATTCTGCTATTCTTTTTCTATTTCTTTTTGTTCTTTCTGCATTTTGTTTTTGCTGCAATTTAAATTTTTCAGGATTTACTTCTTTCAACCGTTCTCGATAAAGTTTCTGCCTTTCTTTAGGTGTTAGATCAACTGCATCTATAAAATCAACATAAAATAAAAACAAAAACCATGAATGCAGTTACATTTTACTTTTTGTTGTATATTAAACTTTTTTCTGGTTTAAAAACCCAAAAGTAGCCTACTTTAAACAACAAATTCTCTATTCACCAAAAAGTGTTTTTGAAATCGGTCTACAGAATTTGGAGAATCGCGTAACATACATACAAAAGAAAATAAAAAATATCAGTTGAATTGAGAACCTCCTCCTTTTTTTGACACAAAACATAAATATTTAGCTTTTTCTATACCTAAGTATTGCAATGTGAACTAAGCTTTATATTTTTCACGTGTGTTACGTCACACAACTTTGTAACACACGCAACATACGTGAACAAACACTCGTGAAGAACATAACCTAAAATTCAGGTAGCATCTTTACTTGCAAAGCAAATCCGTAATAAACTGCATTATTTAGGAATATTTCATGTCTCTTTCAACTATATATATTTCAAAACAACTTAATGTTATTACTTACCTTGCAAAATTATTTCCAAAAGTCTCTAAAATCCAATGACGAAAAATAACACACACCAAGTACTGCCTACTGCCCGTAAACCAAGATGTCTGACAAAACACTGACGTTTCATATTGAAAGTTATAGTGTTGCCATTGTGAAAAAAATATATGACGTGTTGCTATTGCTTCTACCAAAAAAGCTGCTATGTAACACATTTTTTGTAACACACGTGAATCAGATGGAACACATTTGTTTATTCAATCGTTTTTTAATTACTTTTTTACTAGTTTTATTACACTTATTATTAGAACAGTAGTTTTATGCAATTACATTTAGCATAACATTAAGAAATCACGATACTTTATTCAAACGACGAAGTAATGAAGAAAAAGAAAATGCACTACGCATGGACACATTTTATTTTTCTATGAAATTACATCTTACCAACTTTTTTATAACAGTTTGTTTTTGCTTATATTAAAAAGTATTCACAATTTAAATCGAGTAATATTAACAAGCGAATAATGCTCAATACAGAAAATAATCAGATTATTTACAAAGAACTACCAAAAAATATATTATATATTCTTGAATTTTGGCACGTGAAAAATATAGACGAAGTACATTTTTTGTGAGCCTCAACCTTATGTTTTTGATGGCATGTCTTTGTTTAATCATAACATTATCTCCACACTAGGAATTTTTCTTAAGTACATCGTGGGGGCAGTTTAAACACATTAATTTCACAAGGACAAACACCCAGACCTGGAACAATTATTTGTAGGTAATACAAATTTTTGTTCCATGTGGGATTCGAACCCGCGGGGCTCAGCGCTACAACTCATTACCAAGTTACTTCGTCACGGAGCCAAAGGTGAAAGCCTACGATTTTGTATTTTTACTTGATCCGAATTGCTTACATTCATTACTCATTTCTAAAAAAATATGTATGAAATGAAAATTTGCCACCATTACAT